ATCTATCTATCTATCTATCTATCTATCATCTTTCTATCTATCATCTATCTATCTATCCGTCTATCTATCATCTATCTATCTATCCGTCTATCTATCATCTTTCTATCTATCTAAAAATATTTATTTATTTATTACACTGACGAATCTCCAACGACTGATTGAGAAACAGAACATTAAAAACTGAGATCTGACACGTGATTGGCTGCTTGCAGGCGCGCGTGTACTCACTCGTCCAATCGGAGCGCTCGACACTGACTTCAGCGACTCTCCTCCGAGCAGAAGATCATGCATGCAGCTGGTGAGTAGCAGCTCTCCATCAAAACATCATACACGCAAACACAAAACACAAGTTTGCATCTGGACTCACTGGGAAAGTATCCTACATTTATAAAGTAATAGGAAATTGTGCGTTGAATAGAAACGCAGTTTCTGTTGTAAGGTCAGCTGGGCTTGTGCTGCTAGCATTGTTAGCCTGTTGTTGTTATTGTATGGTATGGGGTTGATAAACATAGCGCTGTTAACAATAACACTACCAATGTGTGCAACAACACCGTTGTTTTGCGAACCATCTGATGAATGTTTTTGTATTAGTTAATCAAGCTAACAGTGAAATCCGCCATGATTCCAATGCACAATAGATGTGTGTCATGGGGAAAATGCTCCCTCAAGAACAATGCACTTTTATTGCCATGTTATTGGGAGCTTAGCATATACAACATACTGTCTGGGAAATTGGAAACACTGACCAATTTGATTGTTATTGCATGGCATTGTGTATCTTAGAGGAGGTAACTTAATCTTGTCCCATTGTTGGGGACAAAAATACCCTGCACTAAGGCATGAAGTGAATTATAGAAAAGTATGGTAAAAAATGTCGAATAAATGTATGCTGAATGTAAATAGTGGTAGATACTGTGTGCTTGAAGGGTACATTTCAACAAATAGCATCTTGTTTATGGTAAGTGCAAACAGTATTTTTTACAGTCACACAAAGAGTAGTCCATGCTATTTGTACTCCGTACATATTCTGAAATTCCGTTCACAATCACAAAGTTATACAGACTTTTCCTCTACACCATAAAAATAACCCATTCCATGTGTACTTGTTGACGCCACAAACAATTTTATGCATTTACTGAAAATCTTCTAAAATGCCCCTTTTCTAAATTAGGTACAAGGGACAATCAAGAAGAACATCAAAAATGTGTAGAAATGTAATTATATACAGTAATGTGATATGCCAAAATCCAACTTATTGAAATGTTATTGAAACTTCTTATTATCATTCTTCTGAGACTAAAATTTCTGATAACTCCTCCTAGCGCTTTAACTCTACAAACTCAGCCCAGCACTTCAGACTGATCTAACCGAGTGTGCTAGATCTTTTCTAACTGATTGGACTTACGGTTTTCATAAAAATGAAGATTAAAAATCATAAAAATCCCATAGAATTACATTGATGGAATGTTCAGATGAGCCAAGACTATTCAAACTCCAACTGTCAAAATTCTAATCTAAACACACTGAAGCTCATTAGACTCAATTAAGCTGCCATTCATTTAGGCTTCCACTCTATCTAATATTTCTTATCTGTCTGTCTGTCTGTCTGTCTATCTATTAGGGGTGTAACGATTCATCGATATGGATCGATACATCGATACGATGTCTGACGAATCTATCTATCTATCTATCTATCTATCTATCTATCTATCTATCTATCACATAGCAACCTAAAAACTCTGTGGCCGCACTAAATGGGGTGGAGAGTGAAGTTTTCATTATATTTAAGAAGAGGTCATGGTTACATTGTTTATTTTAACGGCACAAACCCAGCACAAACGAACGGCACCGGTTTGGAGAGATTTGGACGGCATGGGGTGGAGAGTGACGTCACTGCCTCGAATTCTGTTTGTTATTTCTACTATCTATCTATCTATCTATCTATCTATCTATCACATAGCAACCTAAAAACTCTGTGGCCGCACTAAATGGGGTGGAGAGTGAAGTTTTCATTATATTTAAGAAGAGGTCATGGTTACATTGTTTATTTTAACGGCACAAACCCAGCACAAACGAACGGCACCGGTTTGGAGAGATTTGGACGGCATGGGGTGGAGAGTGACGTCACTGCCTCGAATTCTGTTTGTTATTTCTAAGAAGGGGAAATATATTTGATGTTCATTTCAACGGCACAAATTGAGCACAAATGAATGACATCGGTTTTGTGCGATTTAGACAAACTGGGGTGGAGAGTGACGTCACAGCTCCCGAAAACTTTTTGGTTATATAAGGAAGGGAAATACATAGAGCGTTTGTTTTAACGGCACAAACCCAGCACAAACGAACTGCACTGATTTGGAGCGATTTGGGCAACATAGGGTGGAGAGTGATGTCACGCACTCAAAAAAATAATGTTTAAAGGAGTCATATAATGCTACATGCACTTTTACAAGTTGTTTGAACTGAAATGTGTGTAGGCAGTGTGTGTACACAACCACCCTAAAGTGATAAAAATCCACCCGGTGTTTTTTTGTTAATCTACTAAAATATTTTCCCCTTTCTCAAATCGAGCCGATCTCAGATGCCTGTCTGTGTGACGTCACACCCCTTTAAGACAGTCAGTTTCCCTCAGATATACATTCATACTTTGCGCATTGTGAACAGTGAGCTTGCTCTGCCTGCTAATGTATTTTCTCCTCTTTGCGTCTCTGGCCTCTGTTAACGCCGTTTACAGACTCTGAAATAAAATAAAAAACCGTCCGGTTCCGATTTATGTCCGATGGTCGATCGGTGCATCTCTGCTCAAAATCAAATAATAAACTGCTTTTATTTTGGTGGTTTGCCACATGCGCTGCATGTTTCAGAGTGAAGCGCTGCATGTCATGGGCTGCACATTGAAAACTGCAGCACATAGGTATTTTTATTTAATTCAATCGCAACCATCGTGATATGACTATGGCATTAAGCCATAATGCGATATTGATTATATTTTGATATATAGTGCACCCCTAATTAAAATAATATTATTATATTAAAGGAAAATGCTACAAAACGGCATGCTCTGAAAAGAGCTGTTTTTGACAGGCTAAAGGTGATTTTTACACTACCATTGAGAAATTTTAACCAAACTATGTTACAGACTTTTCATTAAGACACTAAAGAATCATATCAACTTGTGGAAAATGGGCATCCTATGGCCCCTTTAAAATCTCAAACACCAAACCAGCACAAATGTTCATTTTTGCGGCACAAATCAGCACAAACGAATGGCATTGTTTTGGTGATTATTTCTTTTTATGGGGTGCCAACTTCACAGAGGTGATAGATATTATGAACTAGCACTGCTCAAATCAATTGAATGTAATTTTTCCCCCCATTTTTTGGTAAGTAGTCATAATGATTCTGGATTCTGATCCAGTTAACCAATTTATTTAAATAATTGTTTTTCTTTTCTTGACAACAACAGATGCTGATGACTGGAGTGAATGATCCTTAATAAATAAGAAACATGGTAAGTCACTCTGTATGTTTTATGCTTTGTTATTATTAACCTAAAACTACCTCATATGAGCGTTTGACCTGCTTCTGTCATGTTGTTCATTTCATTTGTTCACTGTATTCATGTATCTTCTACAAATCACAGATCCGGATAGCTGCTCTGAATGCAGCATCTCATGCTGCAGATGAGCATGAAGACGCCTTCAGAAGCACTAAAACAAGTCAAACGAAGGAAGCCCAGGTGAGTCAGATGCTTTCAAGTAACTTTCTTTTTGATCTGTTTCATGTATTTTTTTTTTTACCCTTTAAAGCCTGAATTTTTTTTTCAGTCGAATTGTTTATTGAACCTTTTGGCAAAATGTACATGAAAACGTTTGCGTATGTGTTTTTTGTTGAGTATCATATTGGATAGATCGATTCGTCGATTTTATTCGGCTATTCGATTTTTAAAAAATCCTCGACTTCATTTTGCTCGCGTTGACTAACCGGCAAAATAAAATAAAAAAAGTGGCGCATTTCACGGACGAGAATCCATAAAACACATTATTAGACTGTTTCCCAAGGCTGCATGATATTATTAAACCCATTTAAAAATCATAATTGAGCATAATTGTAAATTCACAAACGCCACGATTTAATTAAATAATTATATGCGATGCAGTTCTAATACAGTATATGCGCTTTAATTATTAGGCAGGGCCGGATTTATGCATAGGCATTCTAGGCACGTGCCTATGCTCGCTCGTCCAGGGGGGCCCCAAACACAATGAAGAGAGATATATCTTTTTTTAGCATTCTAGGCACATGCCTATGCTCACTCATCCAGGGGGGGCCCAAACACAATGAAGAGAGATATATCTTTTTTTTTTTAAACTCAATCTACAACAGTAAAGAACCAAAACCCCAGAAGACAAATATAACAACCAATAGGGTAAAAATGACAAGCTGTTTCCATGTTTTCCACCTTTTTATGTAGCTATGGAAATTGCGCTTTCTTTCTCCCGTTCTCATTCTCAGACGCACACACACAGACGCACACATGCGGAGATGCGGACAGAAACTCGTCAGCGCTGCCCCGCGAATTTATCAATAAAATAGTTTCACAGCTGAAAAGCTACATGGCATCTCTTAGTAGCAAGGTTCTTGAAGCAGTTCAACTAAAATATTCGCTATTAGTAGACGCTGCTGCTGAGAGACGCACAGACGCAGGTATTCACGCGTGCTTAATCTCTCCCTCTCCCTCTCTCTCTCTCTAATAACTGCATTAGCCTGCATATCAATAGCGCAAGTCTGTTATTAGCTCTAAAATGACATTTTGGAATTTGCAACGGAAGGTTTGGGATGATGTGCATAAGAAATTACTTAAGCACACACAAGATTTCAGTATGCAAACATGACAGATGTCTTGAAATGAATCATCTGAACAGTGCCTTGAGGTGGTTGTGACTCCAGGCCATTAAAATTATTAGAGAAATAATGCACTCCCGAAAGTGGTATGGCCACGACACCGGAGCCTATTAATGGAACGGTTCTCCGTTCTCAAAGAAAGAACTACATTCGATCTTTATTGGCTGATAATATTTACCAAAAGAAACGGTCGTAACACTGAACATAGGCACTTATTGTGATAGAAAACACTGTAACAGTTATCACTGATTACGAAATATTTTTGTTTGCTGGGGTTCTAATATTATATATTGATAAGGAAGGAGGGCCCAAAAATTTGTTTTGCCTGTCATGATAAGAGGTAAATCCGGCTCTGCGTGTAGGTTAAGTACATGCGTCACACAGCGGCTCTGTTCACAATAGTTCCACAGGAACTGTTATCATTTACATGTGTGGAGCATCTCAAACTCCATCTCTGCATGTTGTTGTGAGTTTGGGTTTATTATAACGTTCATCTGGGAACGCAACATGCGCCATTTCATTAGATTTGTAAGGTAAATCATTTATAAATCTACGCAAACTCAGGAAAAAAGCTCAAACCCTCACTCTGAGTTTACACGTTTTGATGTCCACATATTCTTTTAATTACAGTGGCTATAGCATTTCTGTCCTAAAGAAATGGCCAAATATTAAAGATTAAGTGGACATTTGAATGAAATGGTGCTTGGTCAATATTAAACAAGTATTAGATCGCACAGCAATGTTTTAACAGTTTTGTTCAATAAAACCATATGATTTCTTGCTTTTGGTATTTTATTTATTTATTACTAATTATTATTGCCTCGTTGCTATTATATATGTATTTTAAGTAATTTTAAAGGCTATTGTTCACTTACATCTATTTTTATTACCCCCAAAAAATTAATTATAATTATAGGGCCCTATGAAATCCGTTTTATTTCCAAATTTCCATTTTTCTATACTCTGTTTTAATGGTTAAATTAAATTTTATTAATAAAAAAGCCTGTCTAATTAATTGAGTTTTACAGTTTTATCTTTACCAAATTCTGTTTTCCATTATTTTCTGGATTCCATTTTAATGGTTCCATTAAATTTTAATAATCAAAGGCATCTCCAATTAATTGATTGAAGTTTTTTTTTTCTTTTTTTTTCAGAAATACTGCACATTTACATTTTTCTCCTAAATAAATTCTGGTAAATAACATTTCTGGTAAATACTCCTTTAAAAAGTGTTTTTTGATTATAATTTTATTATTAGTAGACTAGAACACGTGGATATGTTGTCATTCTTACACTATAATACTGATCTTTGATTTCAGTGATTTGGACTATGAGATGGATGCACTTTACTTTTGCTTTAAAAAGAGGATTTCATAGAAATTTGGATTTCATTTGGTTTAATAAAATATAGTTTAATAAAATATTCTTAAGTAAAATTGTTGATTTTTGTGTGTGGGAAATTAATCGGTTAGATTAATCGATAAATTAGTCGATAGATTAATCGAAATAAAAATAGTAGTATATATTATATGAGGCTTTTATGGCTCATATAATATAGGAGAATATATGCAGCTCATTTTTATTGAATCAAAAATATCTTTTTGTTTATTCAGAGGCCCAAACTGAGCAAAGAATATGCAATTTGTTGCAGATGCTGATATTTATTAGAGTAAAATGAAATTATGATTGTAATCATTGCAAATCAGTGAGATCTTTATAACAGTATAGCAGACTAATCGCATAAAATGCATATAAATATCAGTTGTCACTGTATATCTCTCAATAATGTCTTAGTTTTTTATTGTGGGGGCAAAACATATAATGCAATGATGATTGAGAGATATACAAATAAACCTTCATCAAAAGACTGATAGATCATTTTTAATGCTCACATTTTAACATGATATTTCTAAAAACTAATGTATAGATAATCAAGTAAACATAAGTTGCTTCAATCCATCGTGAATATATTCCTAATAATATAAAAGTTATTACATTTTCTTTATAAAAATCAGTCAAGATTTCAAAGCAAAAAGACACATGAATCACAAGCTGAAAGGGGAGCTTTTTTTACAATTAAAATACTTTTTACTTAAGTATGAACTGTCAGTCAGATGACAGAAACATGTAGCTTGTGAATAACAGGCTTTTCAGCAGTTATGGTCATATTGAGCATTTAGAGGCCTTTTTTGTTTATCAAATATGATACGGTAGGCTAGAAGAGGTTAATAAAAATAAAATGGTTCAATCCAATTTCACCGTTTCCTTCTCATTTGTATTTCAGGAGGCAGAAGCGTTTGCTCTGTATCATAAAGCTCTTGATCTGCAGAAACATGACAAGTTTGACGAGTCTGCCAAAGCCTACCATGAGCTCCTCAGGACGCCGCTGCTCAAGGAGGTACAGCAGACTCTGATCATTATAACATCTTACCATGAAATCCAGAATATCTTTAATTTTATATTTAGCTTTAGCTTTATTATTGCTTTCTGTTTTTCAAAGGCAGTATGTGATAAATTGTTAGTGATCGTTTTTTTTTCTTGCACCAGGCAGTGGCATCTGAAGATGAGAAAGTTGGACTCAAGCATCCTGGGCTGATGTTGAAGTACTCCACCTATAAAAACCTGGCCAGTCTTGCTGTGCTCAAAGATGATTTAGACACTGCCATGGACTTCTATGTGCAGGTAAATGTGTACTTTGAACAAATCACTAAGTGCAAGTCTCATAATTTGTCCTGCATGCTCACTTAGCAATTTAATTGAACTACACTACCATTCAAAACTTTGGGGTCAGCAAGACTTTTAATTTAAGGGTTAGTTCACCCAAAAATGCAAATTAGCTTGTGTTTTACTCACCCCCGAGACATCCTAGGTGTATATGACTTTCTTCTTTCAGACGAATCTAGTCGGAGTTATATTAAAAATTGTCCTGGCTATTCCAAGCTCTATCATTGCAGTCAGCGGGTGTTGCAGTTGAGCAGTCCACAAGTCGTCAAATAAAAGCTCATGCATTCATAATAAAACGTGCCGCAGATGGCTCCGGTAGATGAATAAAGGCCTCCTGTAGTGAATCCATGTGTTTTTGTAAGAAAAATATCCATATTTCAAATGTAATAAACACTTTTCGCTCACTTCCGCTGACTGTCATACACTGAAGCAGTTCTGGCGGATGATGCAGCATGTATGCGTTGCGTGATTAGTGACGAATGCGGAGAGAGAACAAAACAAAACAACGGTCTCTAATTAGAAGTACAAACCGAAGATTTGCAAAGAAAAATGTCGGATGATTTCGATATAAACCAAGAAGAGACTGGTTTTCTTTGCTAAAGTAAGGAAACGTTGCTTCCTTTGCTCCTATAAACAAACTCGCGAGACTAGCATATCTCAGAGGCGCGTGCGCTGTGCCTACGTGCTGCGTCATCCGCTGGAACGCCTTGCGCGTATTACAGACACATAGGGCTGGGTATCGTTCAAAAATTTTCGATACTGATATCTTGACTTCGATACCGGTTCCTGAACGATACTTTTTCCGATAACAATTTTATGAAATCAATTTTAACAATATTACATTATCTAAAAAAAACGTTGGTTTTATTTTTCAGCTTGTTGACATTTATACAAACTCAAAGACTCATCTCCTGAGCCACTGCACAAAGGTGATGGTATCGAGGCAATTCGGTCAGAGCCTAAAAAGTATCGAACTCGATACCCAGCCCTACAGACACCGGAAGTGAGAGAAAAGTGTTTATTACGTTTGAAATATGGATATTTTTCTTTTTAAAAAACACATGGATTCGCTACAGGGGTCCTTTATTCATCCCCCGGAGCCGTCTGCGGCACGTTTTATGAATGCGCGAGCTTTATTTGACGACTTGTGGACTGCTCAACTGCAACACCCGCTGACTGCAATGATAGAGCTTGGAATAGCCAGGACAATTTTTAATATAACTCCGACTAGATTCGTCTGAAAGAAGAAAGTCATATACACCTAGGATGTCTCGGGGGTGAGAATAAACACAAGCTAATTTGCATTTTTGGGTGAACTAACCCTTTAATACTTTCATTTAGCAAGGATACATTAAATTGATCAAAAGTGACTGTAAAAGCGTTTAAAATGTTATGAAAGTTTTCTGTTTCAAATAAATGCTGTTCTTTTGAACTTTCTATTCATTGTATTCAGGGTTTCCACAAAAATATTGCTGTTTGCAACATTGATAATAAGAGATAATAATTTTTTGAACTGCAGATCAGCATATTAGAATGATTTCTGAGGGATCATGTGACACTGAAAACTTGAGTAATGATGCTGAAAATTCAGCTTTGATCACAGGAATAAATTACATTTTAAAATATATTCAAATAGAAAACAGTTATTTTAGCTTGTAATAATATTTCACAATATTACTGTTTTTTTTTTAATCAAATAAATGCAGCCTTGGTGAGAATAACACAAGAGACATCTTTCACAGACATTAAAACATCTTATAGACTCTGAACTTTTGAATGATAGTGTACATTTGTTTTTAATTTGGTATTAGTTCCATTAACCAGACAATTTGGACACAGTTGGGTCTCTGATATGAGTCTCTGACTGTATATATGTGTCTTGCAGGCTGTCATGCTGGACTCCACAGATGTGAATATGTGGTTTAAGCTGGGAAAGTTGGCCTTGAAGAAGGCCAGCATGCCTTTGGCCCGTCATGCGTTTGAGGTGGGCTTACGCTGTAACCCGGACCACTGGCCCTGCCTTGACAGTCTCATCACGGTCCTCTACGCTCTGAGTGACTACAGCTGTGAGTCAGAAACCTCTGCACAACTGTACAACATACACCGTTCCCATGCTCACTGCAAGATGTGGATTATAACTTTTGGAGTTTTGGAAACCAAAATGTTTTTGATTTTAGAAACCCAGATCCTCTAGAATCAGGCCACAGCTATAGCAGTCATCAACTTAATTCATTAAATATTCATTATTTCTTTTGGACATAAAATCAAAATTGACCCTGCATGATTCATTAGTGCTCAGATTTATCATTTTTAATCAACGGATCTCTGAAACAACATTCTGCTTATGTAACTAAGGCTGCATACTAGTGCATAGACAAGGAAACATAACACACTTTGCATTTTTCTGCTAAGTAGAGAATGCAACAGTCCAGTTCTGGAAGTAAAAATCCAATAAATTTTTTCATAAAGACCTTGATTTTAAAAGCATATGCATTTAAAAGTATATGCTACTCTACAGTAAGTCAGTGTGATTTCATATCTGTTTATTACTGGATATTTTGCAGCAAAAACAAAATGTATGTACCAGTAAATGAATGGATGAATTAATAGATTTAAATATATAGTGTGTATATAGTTTTCCTCCAAAACAAAAAAAGCTTGATGGTTTTACTTATTGCATAAATATCACAATAATATATTTTAATATAATTATTAAATTATAATATAAAATAATTTTACAGTTGTACTAATATTTATATAATTTTTTAATGTATGTAAATGTTTTTTTTAATATTTATTTTATAGTACAGTAGAATTATTATAGTAATTGTGTATTTCTTATTTAGTTTAATATTTTGATTTATTCCATCCATTCTTTATCCTTCTTTCTGCTACTTCGTAATGTCACAGGATTTTCACAGGATTTTAATTTACTTAAAAATAACAAATATTGTTATAATATTAATAATAATAATAGTTTTTTTTATAGTCAAAATAAATAGATTAAAATGGCATTGTTGCCTATAATAACTCAAGTTGTCTTTAGTTTTGTAAGGTTCTTATAAATCTAACCAAGTGTGAACACCCGATTTTTTCAAGATTTTCTCAAATATATATAATGGGAAAAATACTTCTGGAGCCAAGGCCACTGAACATGTAGGCGGTTACTGTTGTGAATGCTGTTTTATGCCGTCTTTGAAATGTAGTCCTTTACCTTGATTTCCTGCCGCTAGCTTTTCATCATATTCTGAGTTAGCAGAGTAGTCACAGCATTATGTTCTGGTCTGTTTGTCCATAGGTTGTCTGTACTACATCTGTAAGGCTCTGGAGAAGGACACGGGTTACAGTAAGGGACGAGTGCTCAAAGAGAAGATCTTTGAAGAGCAGTCCTGCCTCAGACGAGACTCTATGAAGATGTTCTCCAAACTGTATGTTCCTTTGATTACTCATTCAGCTGAGCTTATAATGTGGCATCCACCATTTGTACTGTTGAAGAAGAAATTTTGTAATGTTCATCACCCTGTGTCTGTGTGCATGTGTTTTGGCTGCACTGCAGTGATGTATCAGTGCAGTATGTGGATGTAGATGAGGAGGAAGCCCACAGCATTGTAGAGGAAGCGCTGGAACTGAGGAGACAGAGACAGGCTAAACTCACACGGCATCCTGTAGCTGACCTGCAGCTGGTTCAGCCCATCAAATACTTCACGTGAGTCCATGCCACCATTAATGCACAGAGAGTTTTGGCTGCTTTGTTTGAAGGAATATCATGGGTTATTATCAGTGACATTATTTATTTGATTTATTGATGTCTATTGACCGCTTTTGTGACAAATTAAAAATGAAAAAGCAATTGATAGTTTAATGTTTCATCATCGTCGGTATAAAAGAAATTAACCCTCTAAGCGAAGGCGAGAGTGTTCACGAAACACAAACAAGTGATCATTTCGACCCCTTGCCCAACGGGGATGGGGGTGGCAGGGGAGAACGTGGTCGTAGTTGAATATTACTGATGAACTGATCAAAAACTAGGCTACTGTTCACATGCATTTTACTACTATATAGTATAGTAATAATTGAGTACTTTCTCCTGTTTTATTGTTGGTTTCCTCTTTACTGATCATTTGGAATGAGGATAAAAAGCTACAAAAAACATGCAAATAAGTTCAAACATCCATTCAATACCTACTATTTCCTGAATATTATGAAATTGAAGATGGCCACTAAAAAAAAACAAAAAACATGCAAATAAGTTCAAACATCCATTCAATACCTACTATTTCCTGAATATTATGAAATTGAAGATGGCCACCTCTGATTACGTCATAATATGCAAATTAGATGAGTATATTTACACCCCACATAAACCTTCGGTCATGACCAACATTTTTCTAATTTGTAGTAGATCTCTATCTTTAAGCCCTTTCAAGCCACAACCTTTTGAAATCATGATGTCAAAATCCAGCATTTTCCCCAAAAATCCCTGGCGCCTAAAGGGTTAATACTCAATATTTTTATAGATTATACTTCAATCTACATATATTTATACCGGTTGACAGATTTCTGCTTATTTTTACTGTCTACTGTTCAAAAGTTTGGGGTCAGTACGTTTAAAAAAAAAAAACGTTCTTGAAAGAAGTCTCTTATGCTCACCAAAGCTGCATTACAGTAAACAGTAAAATACAGTAAAATAGCAATAATGTAAAATTTTACTACAGTTTAAAACAACTGTTTTTTTTCTTTTAGTATATAAAAAGTATAATTTATTCCTGTGATGTAAAGCTGAAGTTTCAGCATCATTACTCCATTATCCTTCAGAAATCATTCTAATATGCTTATTTGGTGTATGGGAAACATTTATTATTAGGCCTAATTTATTAAATTATTATTGTGCTGCATGGTATTTTTGTCAGAATTATTTAATGAATAGAAACATTAAAATAGAACATTATAATGTCTTTAATGTCACTTTTGATCATTTTTTTTAAACCTTGCCAAATAAGGTTTAATTTCTTTAAAAAAAAAAAAAAAATTTGACTGACCCTAGTCTTTTGAACAGTAGTGTATATCGCTCATCTCTAGTTAAAGCTCAAATTAAATTGAATAATATTAAAATGAATACATTTTTTTTTCTTTTTCAAATCAAAAAGGCCTACTTATTAAATATTATATATTATTAATAAAATATATTACTAAGTATTCAAGTATTACTTTGCTGTGTGTCTGTGCGATGCATCTAATCCGTATAGGTGGAAGAGTGTTGGGGAGAGTTTCTTGGCGATGTACAAACACCAGAACGCTTGTCTGGTCCCACGGCCTGACTTTGGGCGCCGCATCGACCTGTCAATGTACCGCGACCTGGACTACCTCGTGCAAGCGCCCACCAGCACTCCAGCACCCGCCACTGTTGCTTCAGACCCCCCTCAGCCCCCCATACCCGTCAGCGTACCTCAGGCCCCCCCTGCCCCTCCGCCAGGTCCCAGTAGCCCGAGTGCCAGTCTGCCCCCATCCACCGAGCTCTTTGTCCAGCCGCTGACCCAGCCCAGCGCTGCTGCAGGAGTACCGCAGAGTCAGAACGTCATTGAGATCACCACTACAACCACAGTCACCACTACTGCTGCCACTGGAGCTGAGGAAACCGCTGTTACCACGCTCACTACTGCTGGTCAGTGTCAATGTAGATGTGACGCATGCACATGTATGCAGTGTTACAGAGCTTTGGATGTGAGGATTCCTGTCACGAAAAGATAGAAAGCGCCTTAAAAAATTAACAGTAAAATAAAATATATATATAAAACAGTAGTTAACTTGAGAAACGCTTGAGAGACAAAGCACAAGAAATGTTTAATAATCTAGTGTTACATATTGCTATATTTAATTTCTAATTCAGTTTGGATGCTTTCATTGTGACTGGGATACCAAAAATATTAAATTTACCCTATGCATAATTTGGCTGTTTGAAATTTTAGCACTCAAATCATATATACACTATTGTTCAAAAGACTGGGTCAGTAAGAATAAAAAAATAAATAAATTAATAATTTTATTTAGTACAGATACATTAAACTGATCAAAGTTTACATTAAAGACATTTATAATGTAAAAAAAAATCTATTTCAGATAAATGCTCCCGTTCATCAAAGAATCCTGGGAAAATGTATCTCAAAAATATTAAACAGCACAACTGTTTTCAACATTAAAAATAAACAGATATGTTTCTTGAACAGCAAATCAGAATGATTTCTGAAGGATCATGTGACACTAAAGACTGCAGTAATAATGCTGAAAACGTAGCTTTGATCACTACTGCTGGTCAGTGTCAATGTAGATGTGACGCATGCACATGTATGCAGTGTTACAGAGCTTTGGATGTGAGGATTCCTGTCACGAAAAGATAGAAAGTGCCTTAAAAAATTAACAGTAAAATAAAACTATTTATTTATTTTAAGGCATTTTTAATCTTTTTGTTTTTGTAAGTATTTTGATTCTGGATTACACAGCAGATTGTCTGTGTTGACCTTTGAGAACGAATTAAGGATTTGAAAATAACATTTAAATTCCATTACGTGTTTTCATGCATTCAATTATTGCTACGTACATTGTGTATCATAAATGTTAAAATTAAGAGACTGTAAAAGCAACATATTTTTCGATTGGAAGAGCACACGATGAATGTTCCAACAGATATGTTTCTTGAACAGCAAATCAGAATGATTTCTGAAGGATCATGTGATGCTAATGATGCTGAAAATTCAGCTTTACATCACAAGAATAAATTACATATTAAAATATATTACAATAGAAAACAGTTAAAATTAAAATTGCAGTAATTTCACAGTATTACTGTTTTTATTGTAATTTTGATCAAATAGATCAAATAAAAACATTAAAAAAATTTCACAAACTGCAAACTTTTGAACGGTAGTGTATATGATGAAAGTGTTCATGCAGACACCACTGAAGACAACCACCCTGTACATTTTACACACATTTAAAGCGACAGAACTTTTTGAAACGTAGGATTATGGCAGCTGTAAAGAACTTGAATTCAAGAGCATTTCAGCATTTGTTTTCATGCATATATGACAATGATGATGTTATTGCTCTTCACCCTACAGCTCTGGACGCCGCCTTGAATGACAAAGTGAAAAAAGGCACCAAGAGAAAACGTGTGGTAGAGGACACCGTAGAGACGGCGAAGAGGCGCTCGGCACGTGTCCGTAACACCAAATGCAAGAAAGAAGAGAAGATTGACTTCCAAGAACTCCTGCTCAAATTCCTCCCCTCTAGGTGTTTATTTTAATATTAATCTATTCAGGGGTTTGGTTCCAACCTGCTGTGACCATATCAAGCAATGCACTATAAGACATTTTGTAATTTTCTATTTCTGTTTTGTCATGCTGAGTGAATCCTAGCAATGAAAACACATTCGACTGAAATCTTGCTGCACATAGTTGTGTATTAGACATCAAACATGTCCTTAGAAAGTCTTCCTTTGTCACACTGACTTGAGCTTTATTTCCAGACTGAAAAAGTTTGAAGATGATGAAGATGAGGAGAGCCTGAGTAACTTGGACTCACAGTGTGACGGCAAACCTGGTTCCCAGTTGAACCGTGGATCCAACTCCTCTGAGTACATTGTGTCTATGGAGTCAGGTACAGAAACTGCGCTTTTCTTATTAGTCTGTGTTTTATTCCTTTCTGCATTTCCTTGATTTTTCTCTCTGCTCTTCATGGTTCCTCAGAGCGGAAGGAAGTTCATGCGTTCCTGTTGGCGAACATGCAGAACGGCGGCATCCTGGAGCTGATGATGCGGTATCTGAAGGTGGTGGGGCAGAAGTTTCTGGAGGAGTGGCCAGCGGGCCACAGCACAGCGGTGCTGGATCTCTTCAACTGCTGGAGGAAACACAGCGCTGGCCTGCCCAACCCACTGCTCAGAGATTCCAGCAACCAGCACATAAAGGTGAGCCTGTTTGTGAGGTTCATGCCAGTACAACTTTGAAAGACATTCATGGTTTTGTTTGAGACACTTAGTAGCAAGTAAAGGAGACTTCCATGTGCAATTTAGCTTTCATGTTTGAAGTCACATTGAAGGGATGGTTCACCCAAAAATGAAAATTTGCTTTTAATTTACTCCCCTTCAAACCATTCAAGATGTAGGTGACTTTTTTTTTTTCTTCAGTAGAACAGTAAAGAAATTTTTTTGCTGAAACCATGGGTCCTTGGTGATTCATAAAATGCAAGTCAGTGGTCATTTGAGAGTCAAAAAAAGTGTATTTTATTCTATTTTAGGGGTGAGTGATATACCAGTAGACACAATTAACCGGTAGAAATTTGTCAAGCAGTAGAGATTTTCTACTATTGTCTCGATTGCGGTTTCACGCTCACATGACATTGCTGTGCTACATGGTCACGAAAACGTATCTTTTACACACATTTTTAAGCATTGTGGTATAAAAACAAGTGATTTTAAACGGTTTAAACGCAAACAACAACGAAAGAACTAATTTCGCTGTATGCGCGCTCTGCACACGAAGACGGAGTATTGAACGGAGTGATTTTTGCTGCTTTATAGGCCTTGAATGGTTAAATACCCACACTTGTATGTGTCAAAATGGCCGTCTTTGCAAATATCCTCATAAACACACTAATTTAGGTCTTAAAGGGGTCATATAATGCGATTTCAATTTTTCCTTTCTCTTTGGAGTGTTACAAGCTCTTGGTGCATAAAGAAGATCTGTAAAGTTGCAAAGACTAAAGTCTCAAATCCAAAGAGATATTCTTTATAAAAGCGAGTCAACCACGCCTACCTAAAACGTCTCGTTCTAACACGCCCCCACATATCTACATCACTATCTGGGAAGATTTGCATAATGCCGCCCAAATGTTCACGCAAAGAAAGAAGGCGTAACTTATTCTCGCTGTAGTATTGTTGCCGTCGCCGCCATGTCGTGAAGACGCTGTGTGCTTCGTTGTGAAAGCGAAACTACTTTGTTTGGCCTTCCAAAAGAGGACGATATCGCGAGAAAGAAAGCACATGTGTAACAGTACATTGGATCCGGGCAGCTCTTAAAGTGACAGCAGTCTAATATTCCTGTTGTCTGTCGTTCATGTTAAACAACAAAAAAGAGAATTTCTTATTGCTCTTGACTAAATCACTTTTGTAACTTTAATAAAAAGAAATATATATTTAATTTACACAGTGAAGAAAATAGTGTTTTTATTAATTTAATTACTTTATACAATGGATGTAGCATTTCTTAATTGTTCTGCTGTAGTTTTTTGTCCTATTGCTTGTAATTAGTTTCTTTTTCGTATTTAATCGCTGACTGTTTACTTGTCTTTTAGGCTAGTATTCGTTTTTTGTGATATGGGCACTGGAATTATAATTATTCTTTGCCAGTTCAATAAATAATTACATTTTGAAATATATACTGAAAAAGGCTGAAAAATGTATATATTTTTTCTGTTATTTAATTAAGAATTTAAAATATAAAAATAATTTAAAACCAAATAGAAACATTTATTTAGTTTAGTTTAGGTTTTGTGTGTGTGTGTTTGCTCAGCGCTAAAACGCAATTTGATTCCACTAGTCTGGATAAGTGTGACTGACTGAGTGAAAACTGTTGTAGGAACAGAAGAATGACTTAGAACCATGTTTATTCATCTGCACATAGAAGGAAATAGCTACACGTGTTCACTTAAAGAAGTTTTTCCTCATTGGAAGATCATTTGGCACACATACTGCTTGCACCTGCCTGGAAACAAAACTCTATTCATCATGCCACCTGAACTTGCAATATTTCTCCCAGTGGGTCTACTGAAAAAAGACAGAGACAGATAACTTAATGAGTGTTTTTAGCAAAAACTAGGTCACAGACGTTCTCTGTTATGTAAATGAACCTACATGTTTTTTTGTATGTATTTTTAAATGTAATTTATTTCTGTGATGCAAAGCAATTTTCAGCATCATTACTTCAGTCTTCAGTGTCACACCATCCTTCAGAAATCATTCTAATATGCTGATTTGCTGCTCAAGAAACATTTTTTTATTATCAGTGTTGAAAACATTTGTGCTGCTTCAAATTTGTGTGGTGCATTTTTTCTTTGATCAACACAAAGTCCAAAAGAACAGCATTTATTTTAAATATAAATCTGAAAGCGTTTTTAGATTAAAAACTTTTAATCTGTAGTGCATATTTCCAATATTTCATTAAATTGTAGTAGATTTATGGAAGCATTGGGGTAGCAAAATTCATTTTGAAATGTAATATGCAAAATGACAATGCAATATGTAAAATGGCAATGCATTTCTTTATTTAAATTTACATTTTCCCATACATATTTCTAGTATTAATATGCTTTATAAGATGCAAAATTAAAATGAAATTGTATTACCAAAATTAGGGCTGCACGATTGACAAAAATCATAATTGTCGATTATTCCCTTGAAATTGTAATTGCGATTATTAATTACGATTATCACAATTTACATTGATTGATGTTTATACCATTGTTTGATGCAACTGCATGCCATATTTTTATATGAAAATAAACAAGCTGAAAACACTCTAACTGAAAAACCTTTAGTGCTTTTCTATAGTATTAAGCCTCAAATGTCAACTATACATCGGATTGGTTTCTTCTTTAAATTATAAAAAAAGTAAAAATATGAATGGTATTATAATGTTATACTAAAACAATGGAAAAACCCTTAGGATAACATGTAGAAAGAAAAAAACATATCTTAAGCATGCAGAATAACATAAGTGGACTTTGAACGATTACGTAATTGTAGCATCCATAATTGTAACTGCGATTAGAAATTCGATTAATTGTGCAGCCCTAACAAAAATTGATTAGATATGTTTAACATGTCCAAGCAAAAACAAAATTAGCATTTAAATGCCATTTTCCCTAAATGCATTTAGACTTGGGGGTAGGACACTTGGGATTGCATTTTCATCGTGATACCGCGTGATAATTGTAGCAAAATGCAGTGTGAATTTCAAAATGCAAAAATGGTGATTTAAATGTCTTTTTATTTTTCTTAAATGCATTGACACTTAAACTTAAGACGTTTCAATTGCATTTTCATCAAATACCCTGCGATAATGTAGTTTAAGTCAATGTGGATTTGAAAATGCTTTCCGGGCCGATCCTGTCAATCATTATATCAAGGCGGTCAATATTCCCCATTAACCAAACGCTTTTCACACTGCAATTTCACTTGTCTAACTGTAATACCAGTTATTTCCTAGGTGTAACTCTGAAACAAAGTGAATTATACAATTGTGGTCAAAGATTTCTAGTTTACATTGTACTAACTGATTTAAAATGTAAAACTCAAATTCAATTGCATGTACATATCAGATGCATGTAATAGATGTTTACAGTTCTGAATGATCACAGTGTGGTTTTATTTACAAAACATCTACTTAGACATTATACTGTCTGTTATATTACAGGAAATGATGCTCATGTGTCTCTGCTGTCTGGAGCTGCAGTTGGAGCAGAAGTCCATGATGAAGGGCAAGAACAGTAAAAACATCACACTCAGTCAGACATTTGTGTTGTGTTTGACATCAGGCACTCATATGCAGTAATAGTTCACAAATCATAAAAAGGAATCACACCAGTGTCATGTGCCTGTATTTACAGTGTCTCAGAGGAAGGCCATGTCTGGTTCAGGAAGGGATTGTGGGGACGCTGATGGTCTAGAGACCCGCTTTCAGACAGATATGTTCCTCCTGACCATGGCCTCCTCTCAGAGAGATCTGTTTGAAGACGACTGGCTCGCTTTTGCAGTCAGAGTTCACTGGCTCAAAGCACGATACCTCACCTTTCAGGTAAGAGAGCTCAGTATCACAGAATCACCAGTAGTATCACATTTGGTTATCTTGACTAGTGCTAACTTACATATAAATAGAGTATATTTAGAGAAAATACATTTACACTTAAAGAATTATTACTTGTGTGAAGTTTTTGCCCTGTAGACATATGAATATATGAATGTTAATTTGCTGTTTTAGGGTGACATGGAGGAGGCGCTGGAGTGTTACGACATGTGTGTCGGTCTGCTGAAAGGTCAGACAAGTGAGATGGAAAAAATCACCATCCTCCTGCCCAACCTCAGTGTGGACAATGCCATCTCAATAGAGGAGGTACAGTACAAAAGAAGTTGATCTCTCAAGACACTGTCACCTCTTGTTTCATAGAAGAGTAGAAGTGCTGTTCAGTAGAAACAGCAACATAGTATTTCCACACATTTGGTCATGTGACACTCATACCTTGTTCATGGTTATATTGTTGATGATGACAGCTTAATAGAGAGAGAAGGAAGGAGAGAGCTCTTTAATTAATTAACATTTTCACTAAAGTAGGTGAAACTATGACTCTTTTCAAAATAAATATATATTCAGATTTATCTTTAACATGCAAGAAAAGATCAGAAACTTTTAAATGTTTAAAACTGAATACAGGTGTATCAAAATAAATAAAACCTTCACAATGAATTCACCATTAAGCAATCTGTGATATTTACTGAAGGTGATACTTTTATTCAGCGAGGATGCATAAAATTAATAAAAAAGTGACAAAGACAGACTTTTACAGATTTTACAATATTATAATGAAGATATTATAATGTATTTTTTATTCTTCAAAAAATCTTAAAGGGGTCATATGATGCTATTTTAAAGATCATTATTTTGTGTATTTGGTATAACAGAATATGTTGACATGCTTTAATGTTCAAAAAACACATTATTTTTCAAATACTGTACATTATTGTAGGTCCTCTATGCCCCGCCTCTCTCAAACGCTTCGTTTTCTACAAAGCCCCTCCTTCCGACAAGCGCAGTCTGCTCTGATTGGCCAGCTGACCCAGTGCATTGTGATTGGCCGAACACCACAAGCATGCGTCGGAAATGTAACGCCCCTTACCATAATCGTGAGCTTCAGCTTTCAACATAAATGTAAAGACAGTACATAATGTCCTTAGTTTTACCATCAGTTCAAGCCCGAAAGGGGAACAGAGTCGCGTGACAGACACCGTGATGATGCTCGCATGTATTTGCAGTACACAAGCCACGATTAAGAAAGCTGACTCCACTGTCTCTCTCTCACGCACACACACGACGCGATACTCTACAAGGCGCAAAACTCTGGATTTGAACAGTCAATAGCAAATACTTAAACTAATAACAAAACAGGCTGTTTGACACGGGAGACTACCAGTCTGTGGTCCGTCTGCTGCAGCCCACACTGAGCTTCGGCCCCGGCTCGGCACGAATGAAGCCTCTAGATTACATCAGCTCTGCTCCTGAGAGACCAGCACAGCTGTTACTGCTGCAGGTAAAACACACTTCCTGCAAAGCCTGTTTGTATAATGCATCATTAATGCATTATAAATGATTCATATTGCCTAATATTTATTTATTTATTATGTAGCTTTGTAAGTTTAGCAGCATAATGTAGTCAGTAGGTCATTAATACAAAATAAACCCCTACATGATAATTCAAGGGTCCTCCACTTTGCGTCTGTGGTTCTGATCATTCTGTCAGGGTTTACTTTGTGATAATGACCAGCTGACTGTACTTTATCCCTTCTGTGCAAATGAAAAAATAAAAAACATGATAATTTTATGTAGGGCTGCACGATATATAATTTCAGCATCGATATCGTGATGTGCGCATCCGCGATAGTCACATCGCAGGATGTGCGATGTTTAGTATAATGATCGTATTATTTATCCTGATTGTTTTCTTTGCTCACCATTTTAAATACATTTAGTAGCAGAGCTACTGCAAGTGATTTTAAGTGCTGGAAATCCATTTATCCTTTTTTGAAACTTCCGTGTCGTCGTGGAGAGCGCAGGTCAGGGTCGCTTAGCAACGGCAGACGTCACGAAAGCGCAAGCTCCCAAGCGCTTTGGAAAGAAGGAGAAAGCGGCGCGGCTGGCGTTTTCCACGCGTTTTTAGGCGCGACATGTGAACAGCCCCAAAGTCTGTCTACACTGGATGCGACAAAGCGACTGTTGCATATCATTTGAACTTCGTGTCAGTACGTCAAAAACGAGGCATCAGTTTACTGTCGGGGATTTGTTGTGCCGTGCCGCATCCAGTGTAGTCCGTGACACAGCATCACTGATTAAAATGGGTTCATTTTATTTTGTCGCGCCACTCGCGTCCGGTGTAGACACGGTGAGAGCCACGCAGATGCATGTGAACACCAAATTCTGCGTCTATTTGTGCCTGAAATACTGTACTCTGCAAGTATCCTTGTAAACACAGATGCTTATGGCTTAGGTGAAGGTAAACAATTGAGAAAGAAAATGGATGTGTAACAGTAGCCTATATTGGTTTACAGCAGTTTAATGTTCCTGAGGCTTTCTCTGTTATGAATGTTAATCAAACAACAAAACACAAAGAAAAATCACTTTTGTAGCTTTAACACAGATTTATTAGATTTAATTTATAGTGAAAACTATGCAGTGTTATTTTACATTTGATTATTCAATTTCTGTACCTGAATACTGTTAGACTTACCTGCAAAATATAAAGCACTGCTTATTTCATTTGTATCTTTGTTCTGTTATTTATCTATGCTTGTAATTTGTTTATTTCCTATGCTGATTTACTCGCCTACAAAATCACCCCAGTCATTGATTTTTTTTTTTCCAAATAGAGCTATTGAAGTCATCTGATTTTTTTTTTTCATATCGCAATATAGATCGCAGAAAAAAAAAATCACAATGTGAGTTTTTCCAATATCGTGCAGCCCTAATTTTATGTTTTATTTTGTGTGTTTTGAAGTGTTATGCTCTTTAAAAGGAGTAGTTATTTAAAGGAACATAAACAGAAATGAAATATGCAGGCAGAACAACAAAATGACAATTAAAATTTTTGTGTGAACAATTTTATTTTATAATATAACCATGAGTAATACTATGCATTATAACTGCATTTATAATTATTTTTTGAAAATATACACTAAAAGTTTGGGGTTTTTAAAGAAATTAAGAGATTGATACATTAGGGGCCAGATTTACTAACAGCTTGTGCCAGCGCAAAACGCCTTTTGGCGTTAAAATAGTACTGTCAGGATTTACTAAAGACGTGCAGTGAAGAATTGGACGTGGGCACAGTTATTTTTGCGCCTGACCGTATTGAATATGCATTTGTAGGAGTTTCCCTTTCAGAACCCTTCCCTTCCCTTTCCCTTTGCAAAATTTATGGGAGGAGACTAGTATCAAAATGAATCACGCAATGTGATTTACTAACGTTTGCGCTCATCAAATTACTGGCATTTGCGCCATTATTTAATGCCCAATAAAAAGCATGTCTTAAACTATTTTGTGCTAGAAATGGCTGCGTTTGTCACCCGAAATCACCCGCAGAAATTTCCACTCCCATCGGCGCTGTTTTGGAATTGCGCTCTTGCGTTCATTTGCTCTGTTTAGTAGGGCTGGGTTTTGACACAAATTTCACAATTCGATTCTCATTCAGACATTGTTTACAAGCCGTTATGATGTTTTTGCGTGACTGAAACACTGATTGAGCGATTACATGAGACAGGATACGGATTGTAAAGTTGTACTTTCT